GTCCCGTGACAGTGAGGGACGGACGGCCGTCGTCCCGTGACGGTGAGGGACGGACAGGCGTCGTCCTGTGACAGTGAGGGACGGGCAGCCGTCGTCCTGTGACAGTGAGGGCAGCCGTCGTCCTGTGACAGTGGGACGGGCGGCCATCGTCCCGTGACAGTGAGGGACGGGCAGCCGTCGTCCTGTGACAGTGAGGGACGGCCATCGTCCCGTGACGGTGAGGGACGGGCGGCCGTCGTCCTGTGACGGTGAGGGACGGACAGGCGTCGTCCTATGATGGTGAGGGACGGGCTGCTGTCGTCCCGTGATGGTGAGGGACGGGCGGCCGTTGTCCTGTGACAGTGAGGGCGGCCGTTGTCCTGTGACAGTGAGGGATGGACAGGCGTCGTCCTGTGACAGTGAGGGATGGGCGGCCGTCGTCCTGTGACGGTGAGGGATAGATGTGACCTGAGAGCCTCTGGTTTAGCCACGGGGTCTGCTCCCCACAAGGGGGCTGAGGTCGAGCAAGGGGTGCTGGTGCCGTCCCACCCAGGCCACACAGCACCGCACCCTCCAGAAGACTCTGTCTCCGATGGTGACGGCAGCAGCCCCTGCTGTGGTTGGTGTGACGGCAGCAGCCCCTGCTGTGGTTGGTGTGACGGCAGCAGCCCCTGCTGTGGTTGGTGTGACGGCAGCAGCCCCTGCTGTGGTTGGTGTAAGGCTGAGCAGAGGTCAAAGATGGCAGCTCTGTGGAGCTGGATGACAGCTTGGGGCTGGGACCAGCCCTCTGTCGCTCTGTCCTCTCTGAGTGTGGGTAAAGTCCGGACAGGATGCTGGGAGGGAGATACACAGTCCTGTGCCCCAGTGGGAGCAGCGCCCACCCTGTCTCCACAGGCGGATTGCACGGTGCTGTCATTCTTCGTCTCCGACGAGCACGGCCTCCTGCTGCAGGACAGCTTCCCCCGGCCGGCCGCCTTCCAGACGCTCCTGGGCATCGAGGTGCCCCACTACTACTTCGCAAGAAAGGTGCGAGGCCAGGCGCGGGCAGGGCCCCGGGCAGCAGGCTCCCACCAGCCTGGGCCACCCAGACGGGACTAAGTTCCTGAAGGCAGCACGGCCCATGTGCAGTGTGCCACCTGCCCTGCTCTCCCCAGTGACGTGCCAGCAGATGCCGCAGGCTCCCAGGGGAAGCGTCCTGAAGCGCAGGGGTTCTCACTTCTGACGGGCGGCTGGGGATCTGCAGCTGCTCTGTCTGGCATCCTGCCAAGGGCACTGGGCCTGTCCACTTTCCCTTCTGTTTTCCTTCCAGCTACCTTTCAGAGTCTCATCTTTCCGTGTTCACTGTAGGACGTTTAGAAAGGAGCTGAGAACAAAGACAATGTGCACTGTCATGACTACAGACACGTTCCTGGGCTGGCTGCTGCCCTGATGTGTGTGCACACGCTCCACACACGAGCGGCCTTTACACCTGTGATAACACAGGCTGGTTTTCAGTGCACGCACACACTCTGAGCCGCCTGGAACGCCTCCCTTTCCCTGGGATTGCGTCTCCTCATTTCCAAGGTCCTCTGGGCCTGAAATCAGATCTGATTCTTTTTTTTTTAAATTCTGATTTGGGTGAAAGTTTACAGAGCAAGTTCATTTTCCATACAGCAGTTCATATTCATTTTGTTTCATGACATTGACTGCAATTTCCCACAATATGGCAGCTCTCTTGCCACTTCCTCCCCATGGTTACCTCTGCCCTGTGTCCTTTTTTCCTGTGCATTCCTAACCCCTGACAGGCTCCCCGTGCAAACACTGCCCTTCTGTTTTCCCATGACTGATCAGTTGATCATTCTAAGGAGTGTATCTACCTGATGGAAATGTTCACCCCATATGACTGACTGTTGTTTGGCTGGAAGCCACAGGAGTGGGTTCAGTTCCAGACTTAAGGGCAGCTAGGGGCCACAGTCTTGAGGCTCTCACCAGGCTCCATCAGACCAGCAAACCTGGTCTTTTTTTTCTTTTTTGATTTTGAGTTTTGCTCCACTCTCTTCTCCCACTCAATCCAGGGTCTCCTGCACTGATCCCTTCTGAGTGGTTGACGGTGGTGGCTGGGCGCCATCTGGTTCTCCTGGTCTCAGGGTCATACAGGCTGAGATCTCTCTGACTCTTAAGGCTTGCCAACGGGAGGGTGCATGGTGTATGTACGGGGGACGCTTGTTCCAGAGCGTTCTGAAAGCAGATGGAGACGCTCCAACCGCGCATGCGGCCTCCGCTTTCCCGGGCAGTTGTCTTCCTTTACCTGCGGAAGCCGCTGGGGTCACTTCGGCATCTTCCGACGGGAGCCCTGGCTGCTCCCCGGGCTCAGGGTCAGCCTCAGGAGCCAGGCCGGGCACCTGTTCTACCACGGAACGGGCGCGTGGATCTCTCTCCTCCCAGGAGCAGATACGCTGTTTCCCCGTTTCTTTCCTCACGTTCATGTCACAGGGAGGACCAGGTTGTGCAGGTGTGACCTTTTTTTATTTTTTTCATGGGGTGACTTAAAATCAACCATAAAAATGAGCTTTTCTCATTTTTCTCTGTACTTTTCTAGTTTCTGCAAGTGTGTCTGACCCACACGCACAGCCGTGGAGTCCATTCTGACCCACAGCGCCCCTAGAGGACAGAGTGGAACTCCCCAGAGGGTCTCTGAGGCTGTTGTCTTTATGGAAGGTGACTGCCTCATATTTCTCCCTTGGAGCAGCTGGTGGGTTTGAACCACTGACCTTTTGGTTAGCAGCTGAGCGCTTCACTACTGTGCCACCAGGGCTCCTTAGAGTATATGACTTTGTACCCAAAGATGTGGGCAGGGGCACTAACCTGAGGAGGGGCAGTTAGCCTCCGAGAAGCCATTGGTGCTGAGGCCGGTCGTCCTGGCTGGGATCTGCTTGGCCACGTAGTCCGGTGCCAGCGGACTCGGCAGGCTCAGCCCAGTGAGAGGCAAGGCCAGAGGAGGTGTCACCAAGCCCTCCCGGGCCGTCACTTACTTTAAATGGATTTGCATAAAGGCCGGGGGGTGGTGTCTCAGTCCTCTTGTGCTGCTGTAACTCATGCCACAAGGAGGCCTGGGCAGTTCGGGGGTTCCTTTCCCCACAGGCCTGCAGACACTGAGGCTAAATCAGGGCCCCACTCCACTCCCTCTGAGGCTCCCCCTATTTGCTGCATCTGTGGTGATCCTGGGCGCCCCTTGGCTTGTCACTGTCCTCCCAGGCGGGCTTCCTCGTGTGCCTGCGTCTGTGCTGGTCTGTGTAGCTCAGATGGGAGGAGGTATAGGCCTGCCCTGCTCAGCACACCCTCACTAACCAGACGGGGTCGGTGCAGGGCTGGGAAGCCACCACACATCTGGGGTGAGGAGAGTGGCCGGTGGCTACGCCTTGATGTGTGACCGTGGTGTGACGAGGTGGCTGTCCGTTCTAGGCTCTGCCTGGCCCGCAGGTGTCACGAGCCACACCTTCCTGGCGAGTTGGTTCACATTCTTTTCCGACACCACCTTGTGAGCCCTGAGAGTCAGTTACTGGCTGGGCTGGTGGGTTGGCTTTGTGGTTGTTGTTATTTGCTGTCAAGTGGGACCTGACTCAGAGCGACCCCCTCCTTGGGTTTCCAAGGCGGTGTCACTGCAGAAGTAGATCGCCCAACCTTCCTTCTGAGGAGCGGCTGGTGGGTTTGAACCGCCAGCCTCCTAATTAGTGGTCAGGTGCCTTAGGCACGACGCTACTTGCAGTTAATGAACTAGTCTGGGCCAGAGCCAGGGCCCCGGCTCTCTGCACACGTCCCTCATTTCACGCGTGTGTGCCCCTCCTACCGGCACTTCTGAGTCTAATCCTCACTGTGTTCGGTCTGCATGTCCATGTCTCCGATTTGAGAACTCAGCAATGTGTGGGAGGTTCCGTTTGGATCCTGTCTGCCCCGCCCCCAAAGCTTGGTGAGGACTCTAGGGACCCACAGGCGGGCACAGGGCAGGTGCAGCTCAGCACTCATCCACGGTGCACTTGCCTTCATGGGAACTCCATCCCATGCTCCCAGGGGGGCCTGTTAATTAGGGCCAGGAATTAGCTCCACAATGGGGCTGGTGGGGTGGTCGGGATGGATGGTTGGTCCGGGCTGGCGGGGTCATCCGGGCTGATGGCCTCGTCCCTGAGGAGGGGGGCCACATGCTGACTGTTCCCGCCCTGGGGCCGGCAGGGTGATTGGGGCTGGCGGGCGGTCGGGATGGACGGTTGGTCCGGGCTGGCGGGGTCATCCGGGCTGACAGCCTCGTCCCTGAGGAGTGGGGCACGTGCTGACTGCTCCTTCCCTGGGGCTGGTGGTGGCCAGCTCCCAGCGCCCCGTGTGCTCCAGCACGGAGCTGTCTCACAGGGTCCTCAGTGGCTGGGTTTTCATCACCAGGCCTTCATTCTGACGTGCCTCTGGGTGGCCTCGACCCTCAGGCCGGGTTAGCAGAGGAGTGTGTTAAGTGCACCCCAAGAGCCTCCTGCTGATTAGAAATGCTGATTGTTCCCTGAACTTCACAGAGTTCCATGTGATTTTTCACTCAGTCCTCACAATAGGCCTGTGAGCTGGGATGTTGACAGTCGCCGTGCAATACTGATGTCACATTGCCGGGGGGCAATGATCAGTTCACACAAGACACCTCTGCTTCTCCTGTCTGTACTCCCACCCCAAACCCTAGGAGCACCTGTGACCCTAGATTCCTGCTCCTTTGCTGGGGCTGGCTGTCCACAGCTGCCTGCTGGGGGACACTGGTTCTGTCATCAGCTCGGGTCGGGGCAGGAGACCGGGTGCAGGGGGTGCACTCGGTCATGCAGCCGACAGATGAAGGGTGCTCCTTGTCGTTCAGCCTGGGGAAGTGGACAAGGAGGACCATGCGGACACTGCCCATCACCAGACCCCCCAGATGGTGGGCAGGAGGCCCCTCCGAGATTTCGTGGGGCTCGAGGACTGCGACCGGCCCACGAGGGACGCCATGCTCAACTTCAGCTTCTTCATTGCCGTCGGGGACATGGACGAGGCCTTCAGATCCATCAAGTTCATCAAGAGGTAAGATGCGGCCAGCAGACAGGGCGTCATGCAGACGGCCTTGGGGTCTGACCTCCAGGCGTCTCTCCTGGCCCCTCTGTGACTGTCAGGGTGTGTTCCATGGTCTTTTTGCTCCGTGCTGTCTGGCCCATCCTGCGGGTAAGCGAGTGACTGTGGCGGGTAGCCACACAGGTCCTCCTGGCTGTCCCGTCGTTGACCGCTGTGATCTGTTCTGGCGCTATGGCCACTTCTGAGGGAGGTTCTGTGGTCACTGAGCGGGAGTGATGTCCATCTCCCTGGGAGCCGTCTCTGCTGGGAGCAGACATGGTCTTGATAAACAGACGCTCATGACAACAGAGTGGGGACACAGGGCTGAGCACCAGCCCTGTCCCAGCTGCAGAGAAAGGAGGATGAAAGGACAGAGCGGTTCCCCACCCCCACCCCAGCCACACCTTCACTTCCGGGGCAGAAAAGGCGCTGAAGAGCGAGACCAAAGGGGGCAGGGGAGGAGTCGAGTGGCCTGGCCCATGCCCTGCCCCAGTCTTGTGGGGACAGTCTCTATGACACAAACCCCTGGCCCGCTGTCTTTCTAGAACATTTCTCCAGCCAGCCCGGCAGAGGACCCACCGGTTTGGGGTTGGGCAGGGGCTTCATGGCAGCAGTCTGTCCCCACACACATTGCAGCCGACATAACGTGACCACTGACCAAGGGCCCGTGGCCGACTTTCCACCTGGACGTTGAACAGCCACCTCTGTGATGGGAGCTGACACGGGATGCACCTCACTCGGCCGGTTTGTTTAGAAACAGGGCTTTACAGCCTGTGACGGGAGGAGACCGTTCTAGGAATGCGGGGCTGGGGGTGTCCGCTGTGCTCAGCCCTGGCTACGTGCTGGGCCTCCCCCGGTGTCTCCACCCCGCGTACAGGGTCTGCCTCACACTGCTGTGTCGCCGTACATGCTCTGAGGGAAATGCCAGCCCCCATTTGCCGCTGCTCTAATGGGAAATGGCTGAAGCAGTCTGGGTTTCAAGGCCAAGCTGACGGGGGCGGCTCAGGGGTGGCACCTGCCGGGCCCAGGACTGCAGGCGCCGGGCTCTGGAGGCCAGTGTTGAGCCTGCAGTGTGGATCTGGGGAGCTTCTCATGGCCTGGGGCCTATGGTTAGGCCGCCTCGTGGAGGTTTAGCGTCCCTGGGTGGTGCAGTTAACAAACTCGGCTGCTGACTGAAAGGTTACCAGTTGACACCCACTTGGAGGTGCTGCAGAAGTCGGGCCTGGCAGTCTGCTCCGCCAAGGTCACAACCTTGAAAATCCTGGGGATCAGCCCCATAGGGACTGGCAGCAGCCAGCTGAGGGGGCCTGGGAAGAGCAGCGCACATGCTCGGCTGCCAGCCGGAAGGCTGGAGGCTTGCGTTCACCCACAAGGGCCACGGAACACAGGCCTGGCGATGGAGGTCTGCAAACCAGACCCTACAGATCGTAGTTCTGTGCTGACACATGTGCGCACCACGAGTCTCACACATGTGCGTGCCGTGAGCGAGTGGTCCCCACGGCGAGTGGTCTGCAGGGTCAGGAGATGGGGTTGCTTCAAATCAGTGCCATAGCGTGAAGGCATTCTGTGCCATGTGAAATGAGGCTGGAAACGAGGCAACTGGGGACCCTTCTGGGAAAAAGCAGCCATCGCTCACAGTTCATTTCAAGCCGAGGGGTTTGACCTACTCTCCCTCTGCCAGCTGCCGACCTGTCCCCAGGCCTTAGAGAGCCTGTGGGGTAGGGGCTTGAGTGCAGGTCTCTGGGGGTGGGAACAAGGGTGTGAGCCACCTGGCCTCCCTGAGAGCTGTTCAACTCCCGAGCTGTCCGCAGAAACGACAGAACAGACCCCAGTGTCCTTCCCTGTGTGGTGGAGGGACAGACGGACAAGACACATGTTGTGAAAGATGCTGAGAGGCCTGCGTTTATTTAACTTAGACAAACCCCCAGGAACAGCTGGTCTCGGGTCGGAAGTCCTGACTCCACAGGCCCATCGCTGACATCCTGCAGCATCCCCCCGGCCAGGCACCCACCCAAGTAACGCCCAGCCGGGGGCCCTCCGTACTCATGTTCATTTCCCGGCCCTGCCCACGGGACGCAAGCAGATGGAGAGGGATGGTGGCAGCACCGTGGGGCACACACGTCCGTAGACACGTCCTCATATGTGTTCCTATATAGAATATCCTGTACATACCACATACAGCATAGTTAACACACACGTGTAGCATACCCACGTGGGCACACATGCCCTGATCCTTCCTGCACCTCTGCCCGGCAGGGCGGCCACCCCACAGCCCCCAGGCTGCCTGGGAGCCAGCCCGCGTCTCAGCAGGGCGACTCCACATAGTCATTGTCCAGCCCGCGGCGGAGCCGGGCCGCGAGGGAACGACGGATGACAATGACGCGGGGCGCCATGCAGTCCTCTCTCCGGTGCAGAACGTTCCAGATGAGGGCAGCTGCGGCCAGCGTGGCCAGGAGGCAGGCGCCGATGCTCAGGTAGCAGGACCAGGACAGGCTGGTGTAGGAGCCAACCCTGTAGAAGGTCACCAGCCCGATGACCAGGACGAAGCCTGCAGGGGAGAGAGGGCCGTCAGAGACCAGGACAGAGTCAGAGACCAGGACAGAGCCTGCAAGGCAGAGAGGACCGTCAGAGACCAGGACA